CGTCCTCTCATGTAATAAAAAGTCAGAAGCGAGCTGAATAGCAGATCAATTATCACAATATAATGTAGATAAAGAAGTCACCGAAAATCCCAACTCGCCAAGAATCGATCGTAACCGGATAATCTCACCTGTGCCAAGTGTCAGTGCCCGATATTCTGCCTCTGCTGACGAGCGAGAGACAACTGACTACTTCTTGCTCTTCCAAGAGATAAGATAAGTCCCTCGAAAAGCACAGAAGGCCGTAGTAGATCGACCATCACACGCTCCCCCATAATCTGAATCTAAATCTGAATAACAGGCTAGAGAACCAGTCTGAGATCCTAATGCATGGAATAACCCAAGTCCAAGACAAGACTTGAATAACCGAAGAATATGATAAATTGCATCAAAATGAGGCTGACATAGTCTGTGTATGAATTGACTAACTCGGCTAACAGCGAATGAAATGTCTGGCCTAGTGTTGGCTAGGTAGATAAGTCTACCTACCAACCTCTGATAGATAGTCGAATCTCTCAACTCCTCACCTTCAACAGTAAGCTTCAGATTTGGAATTATGGGTGATGAAGTCGGTTGCACCCCAGCGTCCCATTGTCTGAGAGAAGATCCAGAACATACTCTCTCTGAAAAAGAACAATACCTCTGCTACTACGGGCAACCTCAATCTCAAAAAAGTATCGTAAAAATCTAAGATCCTTCACATCAAAGGCCTTCCCAAGGTCTACCTTGACCTGCACAGTCCCAGAAACATCATCTCCAGTAATAATATCATCAACATATACCAAAAGGATGACACACTGTCCAGAAGTATTCCGTCGAATGAAGCAGGTATGATCAAATTGACATCTGGTGAATCCTAAACATATAACTACATCACTAAAGCAAGAGAACCAGGCTCGTGATGACTGTTTCAGTCCATAAAGAGACTTACGCAGTTAACATACCTTTCCAGCATACTCCCCCTCACCACGAAAGCCCAGTGGTGTATCCATACAAATAATCTCATCCAGATCACCGTGAAGAAATGCATTCTTCACATCCAACTGATGAAGAGGTCAAGAGTACTCCGCAGCTAGAGAAATAATCAATAGAACAGTAGTCAATTTTGCCACAGGGGCAAAGGTAGCACCAAAATCACAACTTGGTACCTGAGTAAAGTCCTTCGGCACAAGCCTAGCTTTGTGACAATCAATGATACAATCCACAAGAAACTTCAGGGTGTAAACCCAGCGACAGCCAACAGGCTTCATCCCTGAAGGTAAAGAGACAAGATCTCACATATGATTACGCTGAAGAGCGTCCATCTCCATCTACATGGCAAGAACCCACTAAGGCTCCCTCATAGCCTCTAAAACAGAGCGAAGAACCTATGTATCTGATAAGGCCATACTATAAGCTCAAAATGTAAGAGACAAATCACTATAAGACACATAAACAGAGATCGGATATAAAGTCCTGGCAGTCCAACCATAACAAACAACTGGACGACGATCACGCTGTGAATAACGACACCCTAAATTATCATCTTCCACTGATAATGTCTCATCAGGGAAAATAACTAACTCAGTACCTGTAATCTCATCAGTACTAACAACAGGTGCATCAATATGCTCAACGAACTGAGAAGTATTACCTGTATCGCCTGAGGTAGAGGGGACATCAACAAGGGGATGAAATCGAGGGCGACGAACATAAACCTGTAAAGGAAGAGAGACTGGTGACTCTGTAATAATAAGGACGAGTGGCTATGGAGGAAGAGAGACGGATGATTCTGTAATGATAGTGACCAATGGCTGTGGCTCTCGTGGTAATGGAAAATCAAAGATAGTATCATCAACTGGAGGGGCAGACACTGGACTGGAAGAAAAAAAAGGAATATGCTCAAGAAAGGTAACATCTAGACTGTGATACATACGACGTCTAATAGAATCATAACACCGATACCCCTTAGACTGATGACAATAGCCCACAAAGATACAACAAATCACTTTATCATCAAGCTTATGACAAGTAGGACACCGATTCTGAACAAAACATGTGCATCTGAAAACACGAGGAGGGACTGGAAAAAGTGTCCGCTCAGGAAATAAAACCTGTAAGGGAGCCCTATGCTGAAGAACACAACTTGGTGTACGATTATACAAAAAGAAGTCAAAATAGTAAAATGCCAATAAGATTTTAGTACCCCCATGCCTCTAAGCATACAACGTACCATCCCTATCAGGCTTTTATTTTTCCTTTTAACAATGCCATTTTACTCAGGAGTATATGGACACATGAGTTGCTGAAGAATACCTTGAGAAGAAAGGTGAGGCACTAAAGCAACACATATTCTTTGGCATTATCCAAACGAAGAGTACAAATAATGACATCGAATTGTGTCTTAATCATTTGTAGAAACTGAGTAAGTATAAAGAATACATCGAACTTCCTATGCAAAAGGTAGACCCAAGTACAATGGGTATGATCATCTATAAATGTCACATAGTATTGAGCACCTAACAGAGCAATAACAGGAGAGAGTCCCCAAATATCAGAGTGTATTAGGTCAAATGGCTTAGGTAACTGGTGCATGCGAGGAATATAATTGGTCCTAACATATTTTAATAGGGAACATATAATCCAGTCAAGTTTGCCACCAACACAAGCATTGCTCAAAACAGAAAACAACATACATAAATATTTAAAATTTGTATGTCCAAAACGGTCATGCCACAACTGAACAGTTTGTGATGAAAAATCATAACGATAATTACTAGGTAAAATACTAGCAAGCAAGCTAGGAACAGATAAAGACAACAAATATATGGCCGTGAACAGGCTCCTAGGACATGATTTGCTAAATTTTCTTCAGTCATTTGTGACTTGGGTTTTCGCGCCAGTGACCATGATGCTCTCTTTTTACGGTCTACTTCCTCAGATTCTATTATTCTCTTACTATATGTTGATGATATGATTATTTCGGGTGATGACACTGCTGCATATGCTTATTGAAAACCCAGTTACAGGACCATTTTGAGATGAAAGATTTGAGGCAGCTTAGATATTTCTTAGGTATTGAGATTGCATCATCTCCTAAAGGATATCTTCTCTCTCAGTCCAAGTATACTTCAGATGTTATTCAACGAGCTCGTTTATCAGATAATCGGACAGTTAAAACACCTTTAGAGCTCAATATTCGTTACTCTTCTTCTGATGGTACTCCCCAATCTGACCCTATGCTCTACCGTGTTATTGTTGAGAGTTTAGTATATCTTACAGTCACTCGTCTGGATATCTCCTATGTTGTTCATATTGTTAGCCAATTTGTTGCCTCACCCACCACTGTTCACTGGGTTGCAGTTCTTCGTATTCTTCAGTATCTTCGAGGTATTCTGCACCAGAGTTTGTTATTCTCCTCCTCTTCTTCTATGGAACTCAGGGCTTATTTTGATGTTGACTGGGCTGGTGACTCAATGGACCGTAAGTCCACTACGGATTTTTGTATTTTCCTTGGTGATTCTATTGTTTTTTGGAAAAGCAAGAAGCAAACTGTTGTTTCTCATTCATCTGCTAAAGCTGAATATCGTGCTATGGCATCTACTATAGCTGAGATAGTGTGGTTACGATGGCTCTTTGCTGATCTTGGCATCATGTTACCTGCCCCAACTCCTATGTATTGCCACAATACTAGTACTATTCAGATTGCTCATAACTCAGTCTTTCATGAGTGCACAAAGCATATTGAGATTAATTGTCACTTTGTGCGTCATCATCTTCAGCTGGACACTATCTCCCTCCCTTTTCTTTCTTCTACTATGCAGTTAGCAAATTTTTTCACAAAATCGCATACTATTACTCACTTTCGTTTTCTTCTTGGCAAACTCTTGATGTTTTCTGCTAGCACATCATAAGTTTAAGGGAGGGTGTTTGAGTAATTAGAATATTTAATATTAAGGGTAGTTTAGTCCTTTTATTCTTTTATGTTGCCCTACTATATAAGGGCCTTTTGTATGTTTTTTTCTATTATGCTGTAATACAATCATTCTCTATTGTCTCTTCTCTTTCTCTCTTTGCTTTTATCAAAGTTTACAAGGTTTAGAGAATGGAGAGAAACAATATGAGAGAGAAGCAGATAGTAATCAAAGAACTAACCCTGCATCTCACTAACAATTGGTATTTATAGTTATCTAATAAAACACAAAAAACTAGTATACCCTTAGAGTGGTATTCTTATTACAACTATATAAAATAATACTAATACTCTCAACATGGAGCAATATTGTAATGCTACTGAAAGATGAATAATAGGAGTGCTATTGAAATCATTCTGTAGAACAAAGTAAGCAAGTCCATGTTCGTTAAATATACTAAACCTCAAGGCACCATTCTTTCTTTTGCAAGGTAACAGTTGTTAAAAACATATTCTGCACATGTGGGATAATTGCTGGCCCCCATCAGAACGGTGACCCCAGGTCTACCTTGCGCTTATTAATTTCAGTATCACAGATGTCAAGTCATTAATTTCCCCCTCCAAAAATTGAGAATGCATTGCTCGTATGCAAAGGTGATAGTTGGGACATTTTTGTCAGGGCCTGTAGGGGCACCCCACAGTCAGGCAGGCAGCAGGGCCTTAGCGAAGCAATGTGTAAAAGTAATAGACATTTCTAGATAGAAAGACGTGTGAAAATTGTCTATAGGACTCATAATATGATGACAAACCATAACAGAATTCATAGCGGGATTCAATAAAATCACCATTAGAAGGAACATATCTGTAAGTATACAAAACAGCCAAGAATTGAAGAGATTTCTGAAGCTTTGAGGAGGCCAATCAGTAAAAACTGACAGACATGTATTCATAAGTATCTAAAAGAGATGATACCAAATTTACAACTTTGGAGGGGCCATGGCTCCTCTGGGACCCGTCAATGTCCTCCACGCATGTAAGCCAAAACACAAAATTGTGATTACATAGGGTAAGATGACTAAGTTAGTTTTGTCCAACACTAGCATCTTGCCAATTATGAAGCAGAAGATATGGAACAGAGAATAGAATATTTCTCACTCACTCTGCTTGAACCCAACGATAAGATCCGAAATCCAGAGGATAGTAGCACAGCATCATGTGGGAGCCTTTCCTCAATTGGCGCAAAAATTAGTTCTGAGCAAACTCCCACAGAATTCTCTTCCACTCCATTACATAGCTGGCACCACAATGATTTATAATGTTATGCATCAGAATAGAAAACCAGCCAGACCACGATTTTCCAAAACATGCAATGAGTTCAATAGAAGTGGGAGAGTAGTAAGTCATATCACACTACAACCAAATCTATCCTAGCATTGTTGCTTGAGAAATGTTGACAACGAGAAATCTTAACACCTCTTTGGGATCCATTCGAAGACAACATACTGATCTTGTAGCAAAGGTGAGTGGAATATAATGTATATACCAATATATCTGGACAATACATCATTCGTACAATAGATATACTTATATATCTGCACAATGCATCATCCGTACATATTTATGTATATTGATGTGAACAAGAAGATGAACAAATTACCATTATGACACTATGATAGGAGAACAGATGTGTGACCAGTGAAATTCAATCCCAATGAACCTACATCAAGGGTTGGCATTAAACAGCTTTGATTGCTTGAGAATGTGCTGATTGAGTAACGTGCAGAAGAGAAGAGATCCCTTGGTATGAATTGTCTGCTAAGAGGAGGATAATGTTCATTAAGCACATTAGGTTCACACATAAAGAGAAATACTGGGATCAACGGTTTAAGAGCAAACTGGATTAGAAGAGGACTCATTGAGTGCAAATTTTAAAGCTAAAAGAAAATTAAGGGACTAGTAAACTTCGATGTCCCAGAAATCCAAAACTGGGTTTTTATCTTCTTGGTTATTTATATGATGGGAAGGAGAAAAAGAGATCAAAGAGAATCTTATCCAAATAATTACAGCATAATGGTTGAAATAGATTGGACGGTTTGGTCTGCGTGAAGTAAATTTCATTAAAAGGCATCCAGAAAGAGGGGGGGGGGGGGCTGATACAGATGAGTTTTGCGAGGTAGTACCTGTCTATCAAAATTTACTCCACACAAATCCACCCAAGCATCAAAAAAAGGAGCAAAAATCCCAAGTTCAAATAAAAATCAAGCTCTTATATTTGAAAATTGGAAGATCAACCCCTTCAAAGGCCCACCTAGTCTGCTGTCCAAAAACACCTATCTCCCACACCTCGCTCCCGATCCACCCCTACTTGAAAAATATCAACCTCTCCAAAAGAGCTTTCACAGAGCTAGGCATGGCACACCTCAGCACAAAGCCAAGAAAACAAAACAACTTTTTTGCTACTGTCCAGTAAAGTCCTCAGACTCTTTACATATGACGCACAAATAAACAAGAAAGGCATATGCATTAGGACGGGAAGAGATTTAACACAGGTCTAAAGAGCTCAGGAAAAGATTATATCCAAAAGAAAACATTTTTTCAAAGCATTCAGATGGAGGACAAAGCTTCAAATAGAGCTGGATGCAAAATTAGGATTCACAGAGTCAATCCGAGCAGCTGAAAGTTGAAGTTTGGCTGAGCAAGAGTGTTTACACAGTTGGACAATCATTGAGCATTACCAGAGCCCTTCTAGTGAACGTCCAATGCAAAAAAAAAATCCAACCAATGAAAAACATCCACTGAGAAGCTGAAGAGGATACCTGCAATAGGTAAATATTTTGTAGGAAAGCATCTTTTCGGTGGAGAGCATGGTCTTCGAGACGAATTATTTCCAATATCTGGGACGCAAAATATATGGAATAATAAGAAGAGATAAATGACATATGCATACCCGGAAATAAGTTCAAATATGCACATGCATGATGAAGGCCATTTGTTAAAAGGTAAACATGCCATCCAGTCAGTTTGTTAGATATTGTTTAAGGACAGTTTCTTCCAACAAAAATTGCAAATCAAGCACTTAGAGGGGTTTGGATCCTCTCGAGAGGTAAGGTGCATTCAAGTGCAGCAACACGTTACTTTTTTGGTAAAGTGAATGGACTGACTCGACCACTTTTGTTTTTGGTAAACTTGTAGCACGGTGATATGGATAGAACATATCCCTTCACTTACCAAGGGTGTGATGTGTCACCGTCCTATTAATGCACTAGACCTCTTCAGTGCAACCATGCACCAGAGAGGATCCAAACTCCACTTGTGGTAATAATAGAGCAATCTACTTATTCTGTCAGTTAATTGATACTATTTCTTTTTATAACACAATGGGAGCAAAAGGCAAGAATAGACACATCAGACAAAGAATAACTACACAACGTTGTACTCAGTCCACAAAACTTATAAAGTTACCTTATTGGTATTCCTGACATGCACAGCAAGAGTAAAGATACTTAAATAGGAAAAAACCTCATCATTATTAACAGTGAGCCCAAGCAGCATGCCAGTGTCAGAAAAATGACTAGAGCCCGACCCTGAAAATGCACAGGAGCCAGCTTTCAACAATGCAGCAGAATGTGCATCAACTCTAAAGTCTGCCCACTCAGTGCGATGCTCCCTCAGGAACTGAACCAGCAATGCAGGGGAAACATTCTAGCAAAAGTAACATACGTAACGCATCATCTTTAGAGAGGACAAATGCTCAATAAAAGTCAAATTCAAAGCTCTGTAATTATAAAATCGTAGTTCTCATATATTACCAAATATTAATATCTACTACCTGCGATATGAATACAATCAAAAACATGATCACTAACTTGGTTAAAAATTAAAATAATATGTACAGACTTTCTTTCCCTAAGAAAAAAGTAATACAAGTTGAATGTGGAAAGTACAAATAATTTGTTGAATGGAAAAGTTAATATTTGCTTTCCCATCATGTTTTTCACGTGTCAAGGTGAATCAATTTAGCTAACTTACGAATTTAAGAGATTTTCAGGGGTATATTGATGATGATTCAGTGCCCTTCCCTCTCATCGAGTGCTTTCAACTCCATTCCTATGCTAACTACTAGGAATTTACAAAACCTCTAACTTTGCCCTGTATTAATGCTAACTGAACCATAGAATGAAGTCTTTATGTCTCCATTTTCCCAGGGTTGGTCAACTTGACAGGGAACTTGAAACTTAATTTATTTATTTTTTTAACAGAGGAAACTTGGACTTTGGAAGAGCAACTATTGTCTTCAAAGCTGATGTTTCTTGAGGCTTTGTTGATAAGGCTTCCTAGGCTAATGAAATTGGGTTCAGTCAAAGCCCTCATGTATTTTATTGCTTACAATTGTCTTCTCCCTCTACGGGAGTCACTAGTATGAGATAACATCGCCTCTAAGCACTAAGAGCACCCAAATACTCCTTCCAGATAAATTCAGTCCTCTTCAAATAGACACCGGACAAGTACTGGGATAAATATCTAGAGATAACCCCAAAGAGGCATCTCAAACTCCAGAACTCTAGTTTTGAAGTGGGCTCTGGGCCATCTTTTCTACCCCTTGAGGTAATTTCAAACCAGATGTGACACTAAATTTGAGAGCGGGCTTGACACAGTGGTAAGATTGCTCTATTGTGATCTAGGCATTAATTTTGAGTCACTAAACCAGTTTGTCTGCAAGTGAGAGCAACACCGCAACATCTGACTTGTCCAGACCCTCCAGTAAGAGACTCTTGCACTGATCTGCCCTTTTTCTAATACTAGATTCAAATTCCGGAATCCTATCATATAAATTTTCAACCCCATCAAAACAATTATGTGCGACAGTATATCACTCAAACAACAACTTTATTACATTGTGAAATTATGGTCAACATGTACTTACCTGACTTATTTATATGGAATCAATTGAAAAATTGTACATCTGAACTGATTAGCAAATTGAAACAGATTAATAAATTTTATGAATCCATCATGAGTCATGACCATATTTGAACATGAAGCTTGATATTATCCATTGTAGATGGATATGAATCTAAACACATCTTCAACAAAAAAAAAACCCTAATACCATTAGACCACAAGCTCATTGGTACCAATGGTGTATCAACAATGGAGATTAAACACAAATAAATGGCTGTATTCAACAAAAGACCATCAATGTTGTATTCAATGCTGGATGTCCAAAACCAGGTAAAAGGAGGAGGGTAGCATTGGGTAGCTGACAGTCATCGTAAAACTTTGTCGGATTCACTATGATGAATCCAAACAATTGGGACATAATGCTTTGTTTGGTTTGGTTTGGTTAACTTTTGGCCAGTCAATAGTCTAGGCAAGATGCCTTGATACTAGAGATTCATAATAGTGAAAACTATTTTTGGGTATCCTAGTATGATGAAAAAAGGATTCCAACACAAAAAAGATTGTGATGGCACCTCCCCAATTTGGATGAACTTACGCCAATGCGGGTAAATGGCACAAGATGATGGACCCATATCCTCAAAATTGATTCTCCTTAGTTTTTTCAATTAAGTTCCCTATAGATGGCAACAGAGCATTAGTAATATATGGCTACAATTGGATTTCAAACCATTAACTATTAAATTCCTGAAAAATTCATGAGGGTGATGCCATCCAATATTCCTAATATATTGCTGACTAAAACAAAATATGGCAATCTTGTGATCTCAATTCATGGGGCCTATGCTTCATGCATAAAGTTAGGTGGCACCAATCTAGTTGTGTAGTAACCAAGGATCAAAATGTTGTTTCAGTGCTTTGTCTCGGTCACCCAAAAAATGTAAACATTTCGAAAATGTTTCAAAACCGTTTTAAAAACACAATGGAAACGGATAAAAATATTTGAAATTTTTTTCCAAAACATTTCGAAATAGTAATTGAAATATACAAAAACATCTTGAAGGACCTAGAAACATTCCGAAATATTGGAGGAAACATGTCAAAACACTTCGAAGAATCCTAAGATATTGGTGTAAACATGTCGAAACACCTCGACATATTGAAATTTCGATTCAATCAATGATTTGTTTCAATCTCCTTGGAAACAAAAAACATTTAGGTCATTTTGACAGTTTTAAAACACTTTTTGATCCTTGGTAGCTTGACTTTACTAAATATATCTTTAGTCGGAATCATAATCAAAATGGGTGGCTAACTTCAATACTGACATTCTGAATTCCTCGTTGTATTTGTCTTGTTGTTCATGGACCAAAGGATTTCACAACTTCTTTAACCAACATCCTTCATGCAATCTTGCGAATTGACAAAGTCCCCACAAATGTGGTTGATATAAAAGGCACCTTAATACGATGCTTCAACTATTGTTGTATAATAAGATGATGGCAATCGTGAAAGTGGGCTTTGCTATAACTACGATGAATGATTTACCTTGGGCATCAATGCGGAAAAAGCTTGGTAATTCCAAATGGAGTTATGGATGATTGAGACAAGCAAAGCATCTAGGGGAATAGTTGGCTTCAAGCAAGAGGGAATGCTAGTATCCTACTCATTTCAATTACTCAAAACTACATCATGGTACATACCTTTCCCGCTTTAAATCCCGATGTTAATAAACTCAATTAGGCTTCATTAATGGTGAATTTCTTGAAGGTAATTTCTTTAAGCTTACTTATGGATCTTTTGCTATATAAACTTGTTGATGCCATATGGAAGCAACGGGTTCTTCAGGTGAGAATATTCATAAACTAGGGGTACTATCACTTACAAAAGCACCAACCTACTCATTATTATTGTATATGTCATGGTGTCTTTTTGGGAATGTATTACCTCCACTAATGCTACAATCACCATTATAATCACTTATATCACTTGCCTATTTAGGGATATCTCACAATATTGGAAAAAAGTTAGGAAGAATCACCGTTATGGCCACTAGTGTTGCCAATGCTATCTACCCCTAGCAAGTCAACACAATTGCCACAGGCCAATCACCATAACCATCACAAATGTTATAAACCAAAGCCACAAACAAATAAAACCATACAGAACAGAAAAGAAAAAATAGAACACACAAAATTTACATGGTTCGGCTCAACAAGCATGCCTACGTCTACGAACGAAACCCATCGGCAAGATTTCACTATCAAAGGTTGGGGATTACAAAACTGTTCTCTACAACAAGTAACAAGAGAATGTGTGTCTACTCTATCACTATTACAAAATTAACAGTGCTTCACAAAATCTTCTTCCCAATAAAATTGGTGTTGCCACAGAAGACCCAAAACAAAATAGAGCAAACCCAATTTTTTCCACCAAGAGAACTCGTCAACGTTGTCCTTGTCGAGAGCAACCTGTTGAACACCTCTCCTAATTTTCAAGTCCCTTTCAAGGGTGGGCACCACCAAATTCAAATTCCAAGTCCAACTAGGACATAGAAACCTATTGACCTATCTAACCAAAAAACGTCTCCTGCATATTGTAACTATCATTGAGATAGTTTCTAACCCAAACACTTATACCAGCATACTTATCTTCAATGGGCCCATGAAAAATTCTGCATATAAAAAATTCAAATGGACTTGGAATACAAGTCATCAATAACAACAAAAATCTTTGTTACCACTATGGCCTCTACACTGCAGCTAACATCCAAAGTGCCCCCATCTTATCTTTCGTAGAGTTATAATATCATCATTAGAGGACTTTGGCCCTGCTCTGAGGGGTTTTCACTTAAGTGATTGAAAAATCAATGTACCTCTTATAAACATCAAATTGACTACATGAGCAATATTCATTTTCCAAAGACATCCCAAATGACCATCATAACATTTCGTTACATACTAATAGATCAACTTTGCTCTATATGGTGAAAGGTACGTCTGAAATGCTATCCAAATGTAGCCTTTTTAATTAGTGTGACAAAGAATGCAAAGTCAGTGAAGAGATAGTAGCAGCCATTGGTTCAAACATAATACAATATACAATTATGCATATATAGATATAATACTAGATTTCCCTAGCCAAAAGAATATTATTCTAGAGTTCAGTAACAAGTGTCCGCCAAAGTTCAGGTGAAAAGTAACTCGTCACTAACATCAAAAAAAATTCTGCATCAACAGTTGCTTTCTTTTAAAAGCTCAAGAAGCACTGTGATTCAAGTTCTCTGGCAAAATTTTTTCAGAAAACCTTTAATAAATATTTTCGGCCTCGGATGCCTTTACTGAGTATGCTGATTTTAAAGAGGTGCCTCACAATATACGTATATAGGATTGCAACAAGTGCAACCTGTATTACTAAAGGCCGCATGAAGTAGATTAATAGGTTCACAACTCACTTGAAGCACCATGGAGGATTTCACACAAAGGATTCCCCCAGACAATGGAAGGGCATCATTATAATTTGAATCGGTGCCAAATTTCTTGGTTGAATTAACACAAATTATCAAATCTTCAGCAGCATCATAGTCAACCAATGACCAGCCATCATCACTGAAACTGTTTATTGCATCATTGAAGCCCCTAAAATACCAAAGAACAGATAAGTGAGAAGAACCATAACAATAAAATCTCGAAGACAAACATGTATGATGCATGTACACAAAAAAAACGGAGAAGCAGAAAGATAAATTTATCAATGTCATATTTGAGTGCATGTCTAGAGACATAGATAACAGTAGAGAGGAGAGAAAAAATATGCAGGCCAGAAGAATCGTCGAATTCACCTGCTCAGTTTTTGGCTGAGATCACGCAAAACAGAAGGCTGCTTGCCCAAAGTACATTTCAATTTGCCGCTCATTTCTTTAGCCATTTGCTCAATATGATGCAATGCCTACGGACAAGACCATTTGTTAGTCCTCTAAAGCAGGAAAGAATGCTTTAGCTTTGGTAATATATAAGTGTAGATAGTAACAAAATCATAAGATAATAACTGAGGACAAAGCTAGAAATTCTCTATTGGGGCCCATGGTAAGCTTTTGATTGATCCAGCAGTATTTTTACCTGATATCAAGATATTGATTGAACTTGGATGATATGTCTGAGCATCCAACTCAAAACCAATTGATAACAAGTGGAGTAGCTCCTTAAGTATATAAATCAACCTTTTGTGGTCTTAATTATTCAATGTGGAACACAAACTCTTTTTACATACGCCCCCACGTGGGACCTAGGCTTGAACGTGGGGCTAAGAAACAAACAACCATGCAAACTGAATTCAAATGGATAAGATACTTGGTCCACTGACTATCCAAGGCCCAACTCTAGCTCTGATACTATGTTAGATCATTCAACTCAAAACTAATTGGCAACGAGTGGAATAGCCCCTCAAGTACAACCTTATGTGGTCCTAATTATTTGATATGTGATACAAGTTCTCTTCACAACGTCAATTGGGTTTAAGCATGGCCATTTACAGTCAATCATTGAGGCTTCAAAGGCGGGCCATAAGTTGAACGACCAGAGGGTGTATACAAGGACGTGAAGAAGATAAAAACAAAAGAGTAAAGTTGGTTGTTGTGGAGGTGTTGCTAGAGGCACAAAGGGTCTGATCACCCAACACAGGGACGAAATATGTTGGGCATTTGAGAACCACCTGAAACCAGCTAACTCATTTTATCTCATGTGCTAACCTCATTGATAAATCAAAGCCATTTCTTGCTAGAAGATAGTAATAACAATGTTGCCCTTTTTCGTTTTGGCTAGTCATCCAAATATGATCGAGGTATTAAAACGAGATGCCTTAGAAATTTGAATTATTAAATAGGAAAGATCACATTTAGTTCTCTTCAGAACCCTTATACCACTGTAACAATGGCTTGACCAAAGTGGGTATAGCTACGCAAAGTTGAGTTGTGCACAGAAAAATTGTACTATCAGTTTATTTTACGAAAAAAATAGTTTTTATTAATTGATCCAAAAAGAAGAAAGAATGAAATATACACTTAGCCATTTCCCACCGACTCGGGATCAACTATATGAATCTTTTTCTATCATTGTGCTCCATCAAGAGTAATAGTTTTGCTGTAAAACTACGAGCTATCATATACTATCTAAGTTTCTCATTCAAAAGTAAGTTTAGTTTACCCATCTTCCCTCATATTACTGTCAATAGAAATCACATCAGTCTTGCTCATTGTTGCTGGAATAAATCTTCTATGAATACTTCTGAACCACCTAAGTTGAGTCTCTCCTAATTGATCTCCTACTTATGTTATTTCTACTTTTCTATGAATACACTCATTCCTAATTTTTCCTTTCTACTTTAACTACACCTCCATCTCAATCTCTACACTTTAGCAAAGCATAGTTTCTGAGTGTTTAGTTTCTCAGCCACCAAATGTTACGTAACATGTAGCATGGTTGGTCTTATGATTCTCTTGCAGAGCTTACAGGCTCAAAGGTGTATGTCAACCATACAACCACCACATGTCCATTGCGCTTTAACACTGTAAGTGGCATCGTCACCGATCTCACCCAAAAATATCAAAAGTGTCAACTATTTGGTATCTTTTGATCTTCAATATCTAGTACCTTCTCATTTGGATTTTTATTTATACTATAGTTACATTCCATAACATTCAGTTTTAGTTCTACCTATCTTGAAGCTTTTACCATAAAGCTTTTTTTCCAAACATAATTTATTTTTAGTTCTTACTTTAATTTCATCAATCAAAACTAGCTGATCATCAACAAAAAATATACACTGTGGACCTTATTTTGATTATGTACATCCATAACTAATTTTAAACCATACAATTTAAGGCAGAACCCCTATATAAGCCTACAGCTATTGAGAATTCACTATTATTCCCTACAGTAGTTCTCACTATGTTCCATAACAAAAAAATTGACAAAGTATTAGTGTTCTATCAAAAAATAGCAGGTTGATAGGGACAAATGTCTTGCTGTTACAATTTTTCAACAGCTACATTATATTAAAAGTTCTAGCTTTGACTTTCACGGAATCAAGGGTGAGGCAACAAAATGACATGTCACATCCCTTTTTTCAGATCATAAACAAACGTTATCGAAAATAGAAGACACGAGAGTTGTGTATATGGTGTACACTTCAACTCTACAAAATCAAGCCCCCAGTAACTAATGTACAATGTTTTCAAAAAGAAAATTCAACATTTATCTAAAGAAAAGACCCTACTCTTCATTTCAAAAGATTCTCTTATCCATATCTTTCTCTTGCCATCATCTT